AAGTGATCCTCCCACCTCAGCCTTCTGTCTTTTTTTCTTTTTAAGCTTATTACAGATAAGCCTGCATAAAAGACCTGCAAATGTCTGTCAGGTGTGTGTTGTGATAGCTGGTAAAGGTTTCTTCTTTTCCTCTGATGGTGCGATCGGAGCAGGCTTTCAGGGATCTCAAGAGCGGGTGAAGTCTCCGAGGAGATGGGCCCCTTAGGCAGAGCCTGTGGTTGCATCTGTGTCCCCATTTCTCATGGGGGCCAAGCCTCTGAAAGCAGGGGGGATGCTGGTGGGGAGTGCTGGTCTCAGGGCCTGAGTTGAGGGTGGTGCTGGGAGAGGGAAGAAAGAGTGGGTTGAAGGATAACAGGAGCCCGACCTCTGAGAGATTCCAGTGGCTTCTAACTTTGATTATTCTTGTCTGCCTTTTGCCCATGAAAAGAAAGGGCGAAAACCTGAGCATTCAGGGAGTCTAGAAGATGCTAAAACTAGCAGGTTCCCCACGTGCTAGCCCCAAAGTAACCGCCCTCCATCAACCTCCTCTCCCACCAAACCTGGGCTGTAGCCCGATTTTCTCTCCACTCTGGGACACTGAAAACAGAAGTTGGGTGGTAGTAGCATCTGGCTTGTGCACCACAACCTGGTTAGCTGACATGGAATATTGATCCCCTATTTAATGTCTGGGCCAGCAGAACTTTTCACAGCAGAAAAAGCCAGGATGGAGAGGCAGAGGACCAGGATGGGCAATTCTTTGGTTTTTTTAGCTGTATTTTTCTCATTAACACTGTCATTAGGACTAGATGAGGGAAAAATAGGTGTGAGCTCTATCCACAGGGGCAAACAGTAAATGTTCCTAAAGATAAAAAGAAACTTAAACAAAGTGCCAGTCTTCCAGCCCTTTTAATATTTGCTAGGAAGACAATTTATCCAGGCATGGTGGCTCACCTGTAATCTCAGCACTTTGGGAGCCAAAGTGGGTGGATTTCTTGAACCCAGGAGTTTGAGACCAGTCTGGGCAACCTAGTGAGACCTCATCTCTACAAAAAGTCAAAAACTTAGCTAGGCATGGTGGCGTGTGCCTGTAGTCCCAGCTACTCAGGATGCTGAGATAGAAGGATCCCTTGAGACCAGGAGCTTGAGGGTGCTGTGAGCTGTGATAGCTGTGATGATTTTTTTTTTTTTTTTTGAGTTGGAGTCTCACTCTGTCGCCCAGACTGGAGTACAGTGGCACGCTCCTGGCCGCCGCAGCCTCAACCTGCTGTACTCCAGCGATCCTTCTGCCTCAGCCTTCCAAGTAGCTGGAACTACAGGCACACGCCACCATGCCTAGCTAATTTTTTGATTTATTGTAGAGATGAGGTCTCGCCAAGTTGCCCAGGTGGGTCTCAAACCCGCGAGCTCAGGCAATCCACTTACCTCAGCCTCCCAAAGCGCTGGGATTACAGGTTGAGCCACCACCGAGCCCAGCTAGCACTGTACTCCAGCCTGGGTGACAGAGTGAGACCATAACTCAAAAAAAAAAAAAAAGGTGGAAACAAAT